CCGGGAGGGATGCCGAAGGTAGACGTCAACATCAACCCTTCTGTTAGGGGTCATCACCATTCTCCCATCCGTAGCATATGTACTTCTTCCGCCCCACTAAGGCTTATCACGCAGAAGTGGAAAATCAGGATATATGTCTTTCAAGATCGGGTTCGCTTTCCGCTGCCACCAATGTAGCGTCCCGAGACTCCCTGAAGACGAAAGAAGATACAATACTCGGACAGAATACATATATTCAGCACGGAGAAGGTGTCTGGGCTATTGGCATGGCCCAAAAGGCCAGCCCACCCAGCTAGGTACAAGGGGGCTAATTCGAAGTACAAAAGTGGCGCCTCACCAGAACCGAGATATAAACCACTATCGTATTACACTACATCAAGCGCATGCCTTATGTCACTTGACCTTATTTCCATTAATTTTTACCAACTTTATAACGACGTTGTAACTGGCACTTTTGCATGGAGACTATCGACATGTTTGGTACAGGTATCACTTCATTCAACCAAGACGCTTCAATCGCCAAGCTGTTAAAGTAGTTTACGTAGTCTTTCTGTTCGGGATCGTCGATGATTCATCCACCTTCTGCAGATAACTTCTGTGCATTATTTCATTGCATGAAGAAAGGCCTTCTTTGATTTGTGGAAATCCTTTCTGACAGGAAAGTTAACCTTCACGATGTATCACGCAGGCGATCAGAATTGGGACTAAGCTGTAAAGCGTCTGGTTGAAAGCAAACCAAATACCAACAAGAGAAATGCAAATCAGGCAACAAAATTAATTACAATCACAATTTAAGCAATTCCGGACAGTTTCTAGCAATTTATTGGCGAGATGTTGTGACTGGATACCGGGTAAATGAATGTGGGATCAAAAAGTGCAATCGGTTTCATAAGTTTGGCCCACTGAGCCGAAAATTCATTGCAATGGTAATAAAGGTCCAATGACAAGAGTAACCATTCAAGTTTTACGCTATCTGACCTATTTGGTTAACTGTGATGAATTTTAACTGTGGCCAGTTGGCTAAAATAGTGTAAAAACTTGTCAATATTTAAATAATAGAATGGATTCGACAATGGGCATAGGAAGCTCTCAGACTACTCCTAAGTTCTTTGAGGCCCACGTGCTTGAATTGGATTTTATGAGTAATTAGCTATTAAGTTGAAACCTCTTAATACATTTCCCAAAAGCCGCAGTGTATTCTTCTACATTTGTGAGAAAATGAAAAGGTCAGCATTTTCTTATCTAATGCTAAAATGAACATAATTACGCCGTTTGCTCTCCTTCTGCTTGGGGCCTTGTGTACAATGCAGAAAATGATTACAGCACCAAACACAGTAATGGAATGGAGATGAAATGTAATCAAATAAGAAAACAACAAGAAGACTTTCGAATACGGGGTCTGAGGGGAACTCTTTAGATTCGACGAAGTCCTTCCATTCCATCATTTGTCCAAACATTTTAAAGAGATCCATTAAATGTAAACATCCCACAAAACTTTTGCTACCAGGATTCCAAGGGTAAAGTCTACAATCATGGCCCAAATATTTGTGGTTTTGCTTCGTTTTTCATTGTTCTCCTTAATCCGTGTCCTTTTCTTTTAATTAAATTTGGTGAGTATGCTTGAAGCGGGAACAGGAGTAAGAATGCCGGTGCGGAGAGCGTGTTAAGAGAAATGACATTTGAAGGCGACCGCACCCGTTATGTCTATCGCTCTGAGAGAAGGGGTATTTAATGTAACAGGGAAAGCAACTTCAACCTCAACTTCAACTTCATTGTCACCTTAGGATTTATGTACTCTCGGCTTCCTTGAAACACCAAGGGCCAATAGATTTTTTGAATCTTTTTGGAAATTTATTGCTTTTATATTAATGGAATGAGGAGTATTTATTTAATGGAAGAAGTCAGCCTGTCTGCTTCAGAACTCGCATCGGTTCCTACCATTGGTGCAGAAATTAAGCCCAACGGTTGACATATTTCTCTCTTTTCTCCACTCGTAAGTCTTCTCGAAGTTAACAAGCTGTAGAATATGATACGGGATTTTTGTATGATAACCAGCTAACCTTTCTATGAAGAATCATTAAAAATGAATGAAATTTTGGAAGGGGTACATATTCTTTGAGCATATCCCTACAAGGTGTCGCAGTACTCCACGCAAGTTGCCCTTGAAGGCGTCACAAGGAGAACGGAACGATAATTCACTTTAGGTTTACATAAAGGCTACTGATCTCGTGGCGCAGGCACCATAAACAGGGCTCCATGACGGATAGATGGATAGTAAATGAATGGCATGAAGCATAGTTAGCTTGCGCCTCTTGGGTAAGGAATTGTGATTATTTTACTAAATAATTGGTTGAATAAGTTTTCTGCAGTCACAATCCCAATTTTAAGAATACAACTAACCCTATAATGAAACTTTTCTTAAATCTTAGTGGACGTATGGGAGTATTTTCCCAATAAATAGTTCAAATTAAATGTAGTTAGAGGAGCAAGACACGATTCAATGCAATTGATATTCTGTCTTGTTTTTTTTTGCAAAAATTAACAACGCGAGTTAAATGTGCGGAAATTTTAATCAAAAGCCAGCAATTTCAGGGGTCTGCTAATGAAGGAGTACACTGGCGGGCAGTCGAGATCATAGCAAATACGCCGACACCAGACGTCGGCACTTTCTGCCTTCCGGCTTCCAACACAAACAAGTGACATTTACAAGTATTTTTCTCTATTTTAGAAGCCTCAAAATCCAATAACTGGGTTGTTAATTGTCGACTATTTGTTAAACTAGGCTTCGTTTTTTGAACGAGTGCAATGTGTTACAGCTTAATTTCGGAAAATCTCTTCAGAAGCAAATTAAGTACTCATTTAGTGGGCGTAATTTTTGTCCAAATTGTAAAAGCAACCCAGTTATCAGCAGAGATAAAGTACGAATAGATGCTTTTAGAAAAGCATTCTCGATACATGCGCACACCTCTGCTCACTTTTAATTACAACCGAGTGCCTTATTGTTGCTAAGCGACGGTATTAAGTTTAACTAGCCTTATTATTTCATACGGAAAAGTGTAAATGTGATAGATAAAAGGCAAATAAGTTCTCCGATAGAAGAGGGATGTTTGAAAGTCTACCATAGCGAACACTTACACACACGAGAATTTGATTTTTTGGCATTCTTATTAAACTGAACCCCCTATTATTCTCAGGAAAATATTTATGTAATTTCAATACGAGAAGCAGCTATTCGGTCTTTTTTAACAAATCCTTGCTAACTACCCGTATCACATATTTAGTTATAGTTACACATATTTGTTGTCCCAATAATAACGTGGCTGTTTTTACAAGTGTGTCCCGATACTTCCCTGAAGAGGAAAGAAAACATTATACGCGGGCCGAATACATACATATTTGACATGCAGAAGGTATTAGAGCTACTGGCACGGCCCAAGGGCCAGCCAACTCGACGGAGTGCAACGGCCAAGTCAAAAATGGCTCTTTACCCAAACCGAACGTTAAACAAACAACCACTGTATTACGGCAGTCAATTCAGGAATTGAAGGAGAGAAGATGAAGAAAGCATTTAATTCACAAGGATAGTAATATGCCTTATATTAAAAAATGTGATAATTTCTTGAGATGAACCCAAATGTATTAGCCAAAGTTTAAAGACGGCTTTCCGTTAAAGGCTAAAAGTATGTACTCAAACAACGGTAAAACTGGCACCTCTCAAAAGAGGTAAACAGAACACGATATAAATTGTAACAGAAATAGAACCTCATTTGGGTTTTGAATGTTTTGTGAACTGGTAGGACAGTTAGGTCTGAGAATTCGCATGTTTAAGTGAAATTGGTTTAAAATTACCTTTTATCTTTTGTGGTGCCGTGATTTTGGAATCATACTTAAACAGGTTAAAAATTCCTAACATGTGGATTAAATTCGAAATCCAGGTAAGGGAGCGTCGCGAACTTATCATTACTGTAACGCATCGAGACACCTCTGAAGATGAAAGAAGACATAATACTTTGGCAGGACTTCGCATCTTATTCCCCTTACCACTTTGTTCTTGCCTTAGAGCTGCCCAGTCTTATCTATCCGGGCTCTCTTCAGCTAGTAGAGAAGTGGAGGAGGTATCGCTAGCTCACGTTATCAAAAAATTTACAGAGGTACGGTAGGGAAACTCCTTCACTAATCTTCCAGATGGCTCACTGTTGGTATCGCTTTAGTTGTTGAATGCTTTCCTGAAAACACGGGACTGGGGTAGGTGCCGAAGGTAGACGTCTTTATGGCCCTTTTGTTAGGAGTCATCACCGATTTTCCCATCTGTAGCTTATATGCTTCTTCCGCTCCGATGAGGTTTATCACCCAATAGTAGAAATCAGATTTGATGTCCTTTAAGATCGAGTTCGATATCCGCTGCCACTAATGTGGCGCTGCGAGACTTCCCTGATATAATACACGGAGAGAATATCCATGCATTCGACATGCATGGAGTATTAGGGCTACTGGAATAAGCTGGAGGCCAATCTACCCGGCGAAAGTAGAATGCGAAAGACTTAAAGTGGACCTTTACTAAATTTACAGACAAACTCACATTTTTTGGCTCCTTCAGTGACTAGGGTTTTCACGGGTTCATAATGGTCTTACAGCAATCATTCATTTACCCCTGAGCACACTACGTAATCGTCAGGAGACTAATCCAAATCACATGCGCAGATTACTAGACACCCGAATGGTTGGAACGAAAACAATCAATTTCAAGTTCTAAAGACCTTCACAACTTCCCAAGCCATGTGTTGGATATGGAGAAGTTCGATAAGCCAAACACCCTCTCAAAACCCGGCGCTGCCACTTAGATGGCTAAGAAATTAAACACAATAGAAACTAAATTGTAACTGCATACAAAAAGCTGATTAAATAATTCTTTTGAAATTTATTGTAGTGTAATACTTACGTTGTTATAATGTACCTTTCAGGGAGGAGGCGAGAAGAAAATTGGAATCTCGTGGTCAGATTGGACTCCACCCGTACCTAGCGACTACAGCTCCCCTCCTTTTTAAACATTGTATTTTCCCTCCCCATCTTGTCACCTTCAATAAAGCTGTCAAAAGTGAATCAACCGGGCTTGTCTAAGAATGTTAGGAATAGGGAAGCGGGGACCGATGAATCTCGCTTCACACCGGTGGTAGCGCCCGCAGACCTACCCCCTTTCGAGGAAGATATGAATTTTGAAGAGTGGCTCTTAACTGCCAAATTCAACCTTCCTCTCTACCCCCGTTATCAAAGAATACCTCCTATCCTTCGCGCCCTCCCTCATGATTTATTCGTGGCCGCAGTCGGACCCAGCATCACCCGCGATACGGACGTTGACCAATGCTGTGATACATTGGCTCAACTGGTCACTGATCGTGAGGAGCAAACCCTGGCTAGGGACTTCTTTCAGCGTTTTCAAAAAGCTGATGAGACCGACGAAGAGTACGCCAGGAACCTCCAACTCCTGGCGGAACGTGCGTTCCGCGGCTGCCCCCGAAACAAGATCGCCAATCGGGTTATGGTTTAGTTTAGACGCGGAGTCCGACCTTTCACCTTGGCTGAGAAGCTCTACGAAGCAAAGACTAATTCACTCTACCAATTGGTCAAGCTCGCAACCAGGAAGCGGCAGGAACTCCGGGGGCCCCCGACTTTCCGGAAACCGCGAAACTGGTCAAATGCAGCATCCTTGTACGGTGCTTCTCCGTGCTATACTCCTAGACCGGGTGAGCCCTCCTTTCCCCTTTCCTGTCTACTCCCAAATGGCTCCCAATCTTATATGAGGGTTCTTGGTAAACTTGAAGGACGTTCCTGTAGTTTTCTTCTCGACTCCGGTGCAGCTAAGTCAATTGTGAACCTCCAAGTCTTCCCTACCCTTTGTAACAGGGTTAAGATCCTCTCCCCTTCTACAAAATTGCGTTCAGCAGATGGAAGGGAGATGCTAGTCGATGGAGAGACATCATTAAAAGTCTGCATAGGGAAGGAAACTTAGACAGTAAAATTCATCGTGTGTCCAGAACTGGCCTGAGACGTAATACTTGGTGCCGATTTCCTACGCTACACTAAAGCCGTCCTAAATTTTGCAGAAGGAACCTTTTCCACTCACGAAGCCACCGCGGCCAACACAGATACCCCTTCACCAAAAGACGACTCAGATGACATCTGCAATGCCCTTTTTGAAGCTGCAGCCATTTCCATGAGCAATCTGGATGACCTTTGTGCACAGCTGACTCACATTTCCAACTACGAGAGAAAAAAACTTCGTCAGCTCCTACTTAAGTATGCGAACATCTTCTCATGGCAAGAGTGGTCGAAACTCTCTCTGGAGGATGAGATTTTATGGTACCAAGAAGATGTTCACTGTCCTAAGCGTCTAGTGGCTCCTGGATCACTGGTACAAACAGTTCTGCAAGAGTTACACGAGCAACTTGGTTACGTGGGTGAAAAGAAGATGTTAGACTCCTCAAGTAAAAGATACTGGTAGCCTTCGCTCACCCTAGATGTGCGAGATTTCTGCCGAACCTGCACCACTTGCAGTGGTTTTAAAAACCCCCAACCCACAGCAAGTGCACCTTTACAACCCATGCCTACCGGTTTCCCAGGGGAAAGAGTAGGTATATACATTATGGGTTCTCTTCCACCCACCAAGAGAGGAAACCGGTATATTTTGGTTATGGTCGATTACTTCACGAAAGCGGCCGAGACTGAACCTATGAAGTCACAAGACGCTGAAACGGTTGCTTCAGTTTTTTTCAATCGGTGGATTTGCCAGCATGGAGTGCCCGAATCCGTTCATAGCGATCAAGGCCCTAACTTCGAGAGTCGACTCTTCATTGGGCTGTGTAAGATGTGCCGAATCTCAAAGACACGCACAACACCTGCACATCCACAAGGCAACGGTCAGGTGGAAAGGACGAATCGCACCCTAATCGGACTACTGAAGGCCTTCACTAAAGACGCATAACCAGATGACTGGGATTTGAGTCTAGGTCGCGTTCTTCTCGCATACAGAGCCATGGTCCACACGTCAACGGGTGTTTCTCCGTTCAAGATGCCCACAGGTCGTGAAATGAGAGTGCCTTCCGACATCTTTGTGCCAAACACCGACGGATCAGCCGACAATGTCCCGGAGTATATACTACGCCTGAAAGAAAGTATAAGAAGAACTTTTAACATCGCCCGCAAACATTTACGGCTGTCTTATACCAGACAGAAGAAATATTATGACCGACATTGCCGGACGAATGTCTACCAAGAATGTGACTTAGTGCAACTTTACAGACCGATTCCCCCAACTGGAACACACCGCAAGTTCCATCACCCCTGGAGCAGGGACCCATTTCGGGTGGTGAAGGCGCTCTCACCTACAAACTATCTCGTCCGCAACGCACAACTGCGTACCCGGCCGGTAACCGTTCGTCACAACAAGATGAGACCATATAAAGGGACACCTCCGGTTGGTTACGAAGATGAGGTTTACGTCCTGACCGAAGACGGGAGATCGTCGGTTAGGAACCTTAATAGGAGCTCATGAGTGGTAGCACCGGGGACGGCGCTAAAAGGACGAGGGGGCTATGTAATATTTACGTTGTTTTAATGTGCCTTTCAGGGAGGAGGTGAGCAGAAAATTGGAATCTCGTGGTCGGATTGGACTCCCCTGTACCTAGCGACTACAGCTCCCCTCCTTTTTGAACATTGTATTTTCCCTCCCCATCTTGTCACCTTCAATAAAGCTGTCAAAAGCGAATCAACCGGGCTTGTCTAAGAATGTTAGGAATAGGGAAGCGGGGACCAATGAGTCTCGCTTCACAGTAGGGATCTAGTTTTTTAATAAAATAGAGTTTTGTGCACAAACAACTCAGTCACTGCAGGTTGTGCTTTTACTTTGAGGCATGAACTTTTGGCGAGGGTGGTAGTCTCTTGGTTCATCAAGGGGACTTGTAAAGCTGCGTTACGATTCGGCGAGACACCAACCAAATGCAGCTATTCATAATCCTGCCAAAATGATGACTAGGGATCTCCAGACAAAATAACTCATCTCAAAAACGACTACCTCGATTGAAAATTTGAAATATGAAGCATCTCTTTCCCATGCATAAAGCATCAGTAGTTTACATTGAAGGTAGAGAGCTAAATTTCGTGCTGATGCATAACGCTTCAGGAAATATTAAATGTAGGTTAAAAGGGGGTAACAAGTCTTATTTGTGAAAAATAGTTAGATTCTGAAAATAGGGTTCAGTCCTTTTTAGGCCATAGTGTATTTCTATGGGGGTCGTCGCAACTCACCAAATTTCCAGAGCATTTTGTTTGAATTCATTATTTAATTAACAGGCATTACAAAAGTTCCCCGAATGGTCGATGTTGAAGATGATGCCGGGTCGCTTCATGATGATTATCCGGACGATTGTGATGATTATTATGGACTTTCAGAGGACAGTGACAAGGATGATACTGTATTGGGGTTAGTGGTGCGTTTTAGTTTATATTCAGCTCCAGATTATCCAAAGACGATTTTACAGAAGATTTGAAGTGCCGGACTTTAGAAAGCGAAGAAGTGGAGCAAATTGTCTCTGAAGACGTGAATTCCCTTTGCGACAAACTTAAGGTATTTCATTTCTTTTACAACCAATCACAGATTCCCTGGTGGCTAGGCAGTTTGTTTTTGCGCCATTTTAAGTGGAATATCCGCCAAGTTGAGGACATATTTAATAGCGATCCTTTATCCCTGCTTATTTCTTCAAATCTTATTCCTGCTACTGGACCATGTTACACATCCGACAGTTGTGAGATCTTGGATTTGTTTGGAACTATTTCTCAGAATTCCAAAGCATGTCGAAAATCCCAAATCAAATTAAAAGGCACCTTTGCTTCATAAATCTTTGAACCGTCATTTGGTTTATTTAGAGAGAAATTTGAAATTGGACCTGTGTTCTATTTGTTTCTCTTCCCCATCCGCTTTGGATGGTGTAAACACAAGGCAAAATCCTGCTTTAGCGACGGCTCGTCTGTTTGGCATGAGCTGCGGCCACATGTTCTGTCTGGAGTGTTGGCGAGCATTCTTCGACGTTCGAATCTCAAGCTCACATGTCTCAATTGTCGAATGCATGGCGGCTAAGTGCAACATTCGAATCCCTGATGACTTCATCTTGGCTGTACTTGATAGTCCCGAGTCCGTGCAGAAACATCGCAGGCACATTCTCAATGAGGTGATAGAGGTAACTTCTCAGTTATGCATTTTTTTCTGCTGCATTTTTACGCATAATGAGCTTGGCTTGCGCGCTTGAAATTTCACTGTTGTTTTGTTTGGAACCTGCTCCGCATTATTTGCGCGTATTAATTAGAATCTTCGATAGATGTGTATTTGTGTTTATGATGTCGTCTCGATTTCTGCTAGTCGTGAAGTCCTACTCATTGCATGTTTTCTACTTGTGCATGCCTTTACTTGAGTGAGTGTTATTTCATTTCATTTTCATATCAGGCTCATCCCCGTCTGCGTCCTTGCACCGACACCCATTGCACACGGGTGCTCTACGCTCTGGAGGCACCACGGGCGCTGCGCGTAACCTGTGAGGGCTGTGGCACGCAGTTCTGCTTCTCCTGCACCGTGGAGTTTCACGCGCCCGCGCACTGCGAGACCATCAAGCAGTGGTTGCAGAAGTGCCGCGACGACTCCGGGACCGCCAACTACATGGCTGCGCACACAAAGGACTGTCCGAACTGTGGCGTGGTGATTGAGAAGAATGGTGGTTGCAATCACATGGTGCGTCTTGCCTAAACTGGATCCTTTGTGAAGTTTTTGAAGCTCCCATAACTTGCTTGATATTGATTAGCTCTCCGTTTGGCTTTTTTTGCGTTATTGGTAGGGTGTCTGTTTTGTGTTTTAATCCTATTCCAAGCGAAAGCACTGATGTGCTGGGAGCGGTAGCTACTTCCTAAACTGCATGACAGATGGGTAATCTACCAACCCTTTTGAACTCTTTGGAGCATTAGGGGTAGTGTAGCTTAAACTTATTTAAACCATCTAAAAATAGCTGTTTGCTACACTTTGGCATGCTAGTTGAACATGCTGGACGAAGTGCTAACACTTAAAATACAGCATTGATTGTCCGTCGTTGGATGTCTACTGTATTCACTTTGACGACGGATGATGTCTGGAGCGAAAGCTGGTGTCAGTCATCTAGTTGAGGACCCTTTCAAGTCGACACGCAACTACAGCATGCTCGCATGACCGTTGCCGTTTTGACTACCGGCTGGAACTGAACTTTGAAATTTAGTTGTATTAATCCACTTTAATTCCCCAAGCATGTGGCTACTTCCTTATGAGCTGTGAAAAGCATTCATTTCTTCCTCAATGGTTCCCAAAAGAGTTTCCTCCCTTATTTTATAATTTGGCAAAAGTCCGCCATCCAGGCGTCTCAGATATCGTTGGAAAAAGTTATTATTAAGGTGACAAAAATGATTAAAGCTTTTATAATGTACAGAAAAACAAACTCTTGATTTGGTATTTGATGTGATGGTTTAATACGATGCCGAGTTGAATGGTACTTTACGTTAGGATTTTTTAGGGATACAATTAAATATTACTTATGCTGAAGTTAAAAGCGTTTTCAAATTAATGGCCCAGATTTATGTGTTTGTGACTAGGTTGGGAATGCCCCTATCTGATTTAAGTTGGTGATTATATTTCATCTACTTCCTGTGGGATCAAAACATTTTTTTACACAGTGGCCGGAATAATGTATTTCCTTGACCTCCCATTGCCTTGCTTCTTTTTTCTCGTGTTTTTAACTTGACTAAGTAACAAGTTTTTATAATAAAATTGCAAAAAGCTTTTCACACAATTTTATTTTTGACATAATCGTCACTGTAGTCTTTATTTGATGCTCCTTTTAAGGAGACACCCTTTCTGTGAATTGCGTTTTTACGAAACACTTTGTCTCTTGAAACAAAAAACTTTGCATAATCCTGGGGCTAAAGTGCTTCACAACTGTGAGGTAGTACGTAGATCGTTAGGGGTTAACGGGTGCCAGGTTCATTCGCTTAAAAGCTGCCGGAATATGAAGCTACTTCTCATCTCAAGTCTGTCACCGAAAAATTTAAAGGGCGTGCTTTTATAAGGTGGAAGTAGAGAGCAAATGGGTAGTATTTGTAGCTTACCTGCCACCTCTTAATGCACGGTGTGTGGATGGAATCCGTTGGCTTTGCTCCCATACTTCTTACGCCCTAGTTGATGTTGGTGTAAAGTGAAACCTCAAACATTACTGAAAGTTGGTATTGACACGTTAGTCTCCAAATACCGGCCCAAAAGGAGCAAGTCAAGAACAGAAAGTCTTCCTAAACTGGTGGAGCCATCACCAGCATCGCATTCGTTGCTTAAACCGTTTCTGCTATCGTATCTTCTTTAGATGCTGTTCCACAGCTTTTACGGGAGGCTATCTCCTGCAAGTTTGAAAGCGAGTTAAATTCGATACGTCAAGCAGGCAGGCTCGAATCACAGCAGTCAAGTTCAACCAACATTTTACATATGAGGGTCGAATAGGAAGACAATAGAGAACACAATCCCATGTGATTTAAAAGGTGTCGCTCTGCAAGTTTCAAGAAGTTTTTGTAGTAGTTTATAACGAAAACAGTGCGAACTTTTTTGGTCCCTTGGGTGTAACTTACTACCTTTTAAGTTCGGTTTTATTTCAATGCAATGAGTTGGGTGATAGTGGGATTTGATTTCTTTATAAGAGCTAAAGCAACTCAAATTGCCAATTGGTCTGCCAGCGAGTGCGGCCAATTTTGTTTTTCACTGTGTGGAATTTGACTAAAATCCTTCTTTTCTTACACTTAGAAGTGGATCTCACAAAATATTAAGACTCAACTGAGAGTGCAGCGTTATCATTCCAAGAAATGTGTGCTACACCATATTCGTAGCAATAATTGGATTTTTCGTGAAACACTTCCTCAATACATTCAACCTTTTCTCATTTCTAGCAATGCCTCAAGTGTCAACACCAATTCTGTTGGGTCTGTCTTGGACGTAAGTGGAATATTCCATTAAATTATGGTTTATAATCCAAACATGTGTTTTAATTGCACATCAGAGTATTAATTTTTTTGAATCGTACTAGGCCTTAACAATATATGGTGTTGATTGCAGCATGGCGAGACCATCCAGTGGAGTACTACGATTGCAGCAAATACCGCAAATCTGAAGTTTCTGAACGCGAGTCTAGTCGGACACGAGCTAGGGAGTATCTTCAGCGCTACCTCTTCTACTATGAGAGAGTGAGTCTTCTATTTGGCATTGTCGTTTTACCGTGACTTAACGCGTTTGCTATCAGAATAGCAAATACTTGGTGGTTTTCATCAATTCATGATAGGTGGTTGCACAAAATCATGTGTCGCAAACGGTTTAGTTGTGTTTAACACAATAAGTTGGATGCAAGGTGTCCTTGGTCTGGGGGTGATTACATTTTTCAGGACTTAGGCAGCAAGTGAATAGTTCAGCTTGGCAATGCAAGCAATAGCGTGTTACAGTCCGGTACGAAGTCGAGTGGGTACAGTAGACAGGTGAAATTCGGCTTCAGCGAACATGCTAGGCTATTATAAGGCATCGTCGAACAGAAACAACTATCTTTTCGATCCCAGTGAATTTTCTTCGGACGATCTCATTAGTAAAACTAGTGTAGAAGCCCTTCCTACTATCGGGATTCGTAACCCTATCAAATTTCGGTAAGGTAGTAATCGCGTTGAATCTGGTTGCTGCTAATTTGCGCATATTTTGCGATGGATTCGCTCATTCATCTTCCGTTGCTCACTAGGTTCGCAACCTAAGTCCATTTTCCAGTTTGAGGTTTACCAGAATATGCTGGCCGTAGAATCTGTTTAACTTTCATTCGATGTTCATTGTACTGGATTTTAATGGAAATCGTTGAATGAACAACTGTCAGGTGTGAACTACAACTTCTTCCTTAAACGGTGTTAATGATGTGCTTTCTCAACCATCAAAAAGTAGAGATAGTTAAAAAAAACAGACATTTCCCATTTGATGACCCTCTGCGTCCTCCACTCTTTGCTTATTCTTCTATCTTTTCATGAAACTGGGCTGAGTGGATGTCGACTCTCAAAATTGGGACTCCGTTACATCAGCCAGTTCATATGTAAGGATTTAGTGATTTTGGTTTTCCATCCTAACCAGGGCAAGCCGAGAAATGGTCTTCAACAAAGATGTGCGTTCGCTGAAGTACCGTGTCAAAATTGACTTGCATAGGCTTAAATTAATGGCACAATCCCGACTCAAAATAGGGTATTCGCTTAAATCAGATCCATGTTCTCATTTGCGATCGAGTCGAAATATGCTTTCAAGCCAAAACAGTCACGACAATCAATGCGTTTTGGGCAGATATCGGGTATGAAAATAGATAATTCGTTATATCGGACACTTTATATTCAACAGCTTAATTGTTTGTTTGTTGCGCCTCACAGTGGGAGAACCATGAGCGGAGCCTGCGGTTGGAGGAAAAGCACTACGCGAGTATCCAGGCGCGCATCCAATCAAAAGTGCAGAATGGTGAGGGTACGTGGATTGACTGGCAGTACCTGCTGACGGCAGCGGAGACGCTGCGCAAGTGTCGCTACACTCTCAAGTACACCTACCCCTATGCCTACTGCCCACCTGCTGGCGCGGCACAACGCTTGGCCCTGTTTGAGTACCAGCAAGCCTTGTTGGAGGCCGAGGTGGAGGATTTGTCCTGGAAGATAGCTCATGCCGAGATCACGGATCAGGGAGCGCTATTGAACAAGATGAACATCTGTGAGAAGCACCGCAAAACACTGATTCATGAGTTCTATTAACTTGCTCTCCCATTGGATCTCCGTTCTAACTTTGCTTGCTTTGTGTCACAATCTGTACAAAGTTTAAATGAAGACGTGTTTTTTGTGAAAACCCTTTTTAATTGTTTTTAGTCTCTGAAGTGTCGGGGAACACGATTACTGCAGGTATTTGGTTTTGGAAAAAACTTTTTTTGATATATACTTGACTTCTTCTTCTAGCCTATCTTGGGGACTTCTAAAACCGTCAAATTGCTCAACACCATTAAGCCGGTGCCTACGATGTCTTCCTCTTGTTTATGCACTGTTTGAGACAGACTACCTTTCATCCATCACATTACCCATGCCCAAATTTCGTTTTGCATGTACCTGGATCACTTAGAGGCTAAAAGTCGCTAGTTAGAAGGAGGCCTTGGGTTGAAAGCACCGTTCAGGATTCGGAAATTACTAATTATTCTTGTGAGCGCACGACAAAGGAAATGCTGAGAAGAATGTCACTGGTTGTCGGTCCATGAGTTATGCTTGTCTACTTTCCTCCACTTCTTGCATGATTCCAGTCACGTCTGACATTTACAAAGCCTGAGTGGGAGACTGTTTTCCTGTTTACTTTAAGTTTCTAGAACGCCGGTGGTTGTGATAAGTAAACACATTCTTACCAAGATTTGATAACTTGATTACCGTCGCGTGGATATCAAGCCTGAATTGCCTTGTGGACACAATTTAAAATGTTAATTTGAAAGGGATTTTCATGCTTCACAATGCCTGCCATCACGTCACTTTGGTCTAAATTTAACCAACAGATCATGCAATCGTTTAGGCCCATGCTAGAACCTAACATGCGCAGCTCTTACGCAGGGCATCGTACATCCATCCTTTCATTCCTCCAAATATTCCCTTTTGTGTTGTCACTTCACTTAAAGTTTATCTTTTTCGGTAAATGCATGTTTGTTTAGCGTTTTCAATGCAATGGTGACAGCTTCGGGGACACCTTTCCCATTCACTTTTGGTAACTCATCAAAAATGGGGGAGAAGCACTACTGATTTTAAGTAAATGGATCAATGCCGACAGAATGACGACGGCATCAAATCTTAATACTACTGGCTAACGCATGACATAAGGCTCTCAAATCAACATTGTCCACAAACTTGGCTAGAGTTTAGCTCCTTCCTGGGGCCGGTGCATAGACAGCAAACTGTTCACCTTACAAATTAAGGAATATGCAAGTGTTGATTAGTTGTAAGTCACAATCACATCAGCTCATACCCACACATTACGATTGAGTTCAAGGGGTAACCAAAATGAAATAATTTGGTTGTTTGTTTATTAGTCGGTTTTGGTGAAGAGTCCACTTTAGACTTGGCGGTTGTACCTAGTCGGGTG